TTAGCCCTCCCGGGGCTCAGGCAGGGCCCCGCGCTCAGCTGCTCGCTCCCTGCCCACCTGCTCCCCGGGGATTAGGCGCCATGCTCAGCTTCCCCGGGAATTGGCCCTGGCTGGGGGTCCCTTCCCCAGGCGCAGGGAGGGCAGGAGGCTGCTGGTGGTGGGAGAGGAGCTGGTGGGGCCCAGCCAGGCAGTGGCAAGGGGTGACTGAAAAGGTGTGGGTGCAGCCTCTGCCCCTTCCCAGTGCTCTGGTTTTGTGAGCAGTTCTGAGCCGGCTGCTTTAATGTGGCACTTGGAAGGACTGGTGCTGGCACAGGGACAGCCGGTGACAATAAACCCATCATAAACCAGCCGAGCCCAGAAAGGCACCAGGGGAGTGAAGGGATGCTGCAACCGGCTCCAGGTGGGGGCAGGCAGACGGCCACTGTAATTAGGTTTAAGCTGGAGCTGGATCAGTCTTTGTGGGGGATTATGACCCCTCCGTCTGCGTAGGCGCTGCGGGGGCCCAGCTACTGCCTGCTCAGCATCCTGGTGCAGCCACAGCGTTATGAGTGAGCCAAGGGGAAAAGGGCAGCACCAGCCAAGGCCAGTGCCCCTCTGTGCTGTGGGTCAGCGTGGGAGGGCTGGCTCCAGCACTGGGGCCTGCTTTGTTTTTACGACGACACTAGGAACTGGAGCGGGGATGAAAAATAGCCAGAAATATGATTAGAGGATTGGAGAAAATGCCTTGGAGTACAAGCTTTAAGAGCTCAATCTGTTTAGCCTATAAAAATAGAAGACTGAGGGGTGACTTAATTACTGAGCATAATTACTTCACAGGCAGAAAATACCAGGTAGTGGAAGTCTCTTTTTAATTGAGCAGGGAAAGGACGCCAGAGAGCCAGGGGCAGGACACTGAAGCTGCAGACAAATTATAAGGCGCAACGTCCCAGCAGTGAAGCTCCCCGGGGGTGCAGGCAGGCTCCCTGGGAACGGTGCATCCCTGTGTGTGACAGTCTGTGCCCCCACAGCCCCCACGGATGGGGCTGTTCCCCCATTCCCTTCTTTCCCACCCAGGCAGTAAGAGGCTGGAGCAGGTTTTTTGGCAGCTGGGTGCCAAGTGGTGGACATTGCTGGTGGGTAAATGGCAGCAGTGCCTCCATCCCCCTTCTCTCTCCCTCACCAGCTGGGGCAGGTGCCAGGGCGCAGCTTTGCCAGCGAGCCATGGGGCAGGAGCAGAGATTTTGATGCCTCTCCCGGGAGTCCCCAGAGCCATGACTGCAACTGTGCAGACGCTGCGGTTCAAGCTGCTGCCGCACGAGCCAGGCCAGGAGTGGGGGCACAGCTGCCAGCAGGAGATCGAGCGTCGCTACCAGGTGGTGCCCTCAGTGGTGTGCGCCATGTGCTGCCTCTTCGGCATCATCTACTGCTTCTTTGGTGAGCCAGGCCAGCCTGGCGGCTGGTGGGGCAAGTGGGGAGAAGGGCAAGGGGGACCAGGGTGGGTGCTGGACATCTACCCCCTGACCACCGTGGTCTCTCTGCAGGCTACCGCTGCTTCAAGGCCGTCATGTTCCTGACGGGGCTGATGTTCGGCTCCATCATCATCTTCATGTTGTGCTACAAGGAGCGGGTGCTGGACACGCAGCTGAGTGTGGAGGCCTCGGTGGGCATAGGGCTGGGCATCGGGGTCCTGTGTGGGCTGGTCACCATGCTGGTGCGCAGTGTCGGCCTCTTCATGGTGGGACTGCTCCTGGGGCTGCTGCTGGCGGTGGCCACGCTGGTGGTGATGGAGCAGTTCTACCA